GACTGGTATGAGGCAGGTGCCTCCTGGGAAAAACGATAATCTCCATTAACGTTTATAATGGCACAGATGGCAGTGACTTCTACCAGACTTCCCGTTAGGCATAGGAGGGCCGGGATGTGCATTTGAAGAGAAAGCAAGAAATAAACCAGGACTGTAGGCTAAGCGAACGGTGAGCTTAGCAACGTAATAGAATCCCTAATATCAAAGGCAGAAGAGAAGCATGTCCTGTGCCCACTTTGTGTCTTAGGAGAGGCGGTCCCTGGGCATTGTCTGGATGGAGGTCTCGGCGTCCAGGGTGAAGGTGTCTCTGGCAACAAAGTCATCGCCAATGGTGAGTCTCGGGTTGGGGCCACGATGGCATCTCCAGCAGTGAGCTCCTGGGCCAGGAGTGTACAACTGGGTATCCTTGACAGGTGGGGGCCGCTGGAGTTGAGGTGAGTCTCAACCTTTGCCAAGTTTGGTTGAAACAATGGCTCGCTTGGAGGGTTTAGGCCCCTGGTTTATAACCAATGGAAGCACTAGGACCAGCGGTAATAAGATCAACAGTCACCAGAATGACTCGGCTGCGCTTGACAGGGTTTTTGTGTTTTGTTTTGGTTTTGTGGAAATTTAGGTTCGAATGGGTCCCCCATGAGATGAGCAGCTGCCTGGCCCAGGGACAGCGTCTGGGTAATGAGTCCTCAGAGATTGTGAAATCGCTAACCCAGGGACGAGCAGTCTCTCCCCAGCCATAAAGACTTTTTAGATGTCAAAACATCATAATATATAGAAAAAATATCTATGTACACATACAATATATGATGCAATCGGCATCGCAGAATACGAAGATGAAATAGCAGTAACGCTCATGCCAATAATTAATAGCATGAATAGCAAATAAAAACCAGCGTGACAAGTCACGAGAGAGATTGCAGAAGAAAAAAGCGATTGATTTCCTGCTTTTCGAACAATGGACTGCTCATGTTATTTTGCACTGGGTCCAGCAAATGATATACCTGGCCCTGGCTTAGACATCGCTGGTAGAAATGTAAAAGGCATGAATGACTATTTGGGAAAACAATTTGGTGATTTCCTATAAAGTCAGCCAGGCACTCACCACACAACCTGTGGAGAGGAGGGGCTGAGTGACCTGTTCGATTCAAGTCTACATTAATACACTACCTAGAACAAATGGCTTGTTTCTGCAACGAATTGCTTATAAATTATACCCGAGACAACTAAACACGGGTCAAATGCAGTCAACTATTCTGGGCCTGTGACCCCTAGGAGTATAGAATCATCAAGGATTTTGTTTAAGAGTAGTATAACTAAAAGGTGGACTCAGGCTCAGATCCCTAAAGTAATAATTCACGATTAACACGAGGCCCTGTAAGTGCCTGAGATTTCGTGTTTCTCTCCAAAGGTTTGGTTTCATCCCTCGAAAGCCACTTGACTGGTTCCCAATGTCCCAGCCGTGGACAAGTCTGAAAGCTTCGGGGACTGACTGCTCATTCCTCACCTGTGTAGGTGTGTGGTCCTAGACCTCAGGGCTAAGGGGACTGTCATCGGGCTCTTATTCTGAGGGCACAGCCCCATCCTGCCACGTGTGGCAGTCTCGACAGACCAAAGCGCCTCCAGTTGTGAATGCGGAGAACCAAGGTCTGTTTTCGGCAATGCCACTGTCCGTTTGGTTGACTTGGGCAAATGATTCACTTCTCTGCACTACTGTTTCTTCCCAAGTAAGCGAAGAAATTCTTAGCCAACCCTCTCTCAAGTTGGTTTGAATATCCCATGAGACAATAAGCACGCAATCTCTTTGGGCAAAAGAAAGGTCATAAGAAATTAAGATGATGTGTTGGTTATTATTTTTAGCATTCCATAGTGGGGCAGGCACACCCACCCCCCTTTCGGTTCCAGACTATTGGCAATGGGAGAGGATCAAATGTGAATCATGATCAGATTTGAGGAATTACCTTTCAATAAATTGCTATTCATGAAACAAGGATCAAAATGTTTTGCAGCCATTCCAGCTTCCTGAAATCCTAGGAACTGTTACGAATCCAGAAGAGGCACTAGATGTTATGTCAGAGATGGAATAATGCAGACATCAGTATCACACCAGCGGATACTTACTGAGAACAAATAATGAGCAGAAAAGTACCTCAATGGTGCTCAGCCCTACGGGTCACCAGCTG